TAATGACTCCTTTGGAGCAACTTTGTGTCAGGAGCAAATCACGTAATGAAGGCCGTTTAATGTGAACATACACGACCGGAACGTATTAAAAGAGATATCTTTATTGTTGTGTTGTTCGGCTGTCTCGTTGCTTGTAATTTTTTCGGTTGTGTTAATTCATTTTCTGTTGTATTCCCTATTGTATAGTTGAAATCGTATCTGTTGTCTGTCCTTCTCTTAATAATCATGAAACGTCTTTTACGAATGTTCGGATTTACGAGAGGAAAGATAGACATTTATTGTCTATATCAATTGGTTCTATTCTACAATTAAAACTAGAAGACGAATGTGGTCACCGGATAAGTTGATGTCGTGATAACTTTATTCGTTTTATTTGTAGATCACTGCTGTCGTATAAGTCTCTTAACATGTAACGAGAATTATGTCTTCATTGAAGGAGTGTTGATTGCGTAAATCTTTCTCGGCAAATGGCTATCAAACATAATTTGATTTTATGGGTAAATTTTTTTAAGTTGTGGATGACAATACAAAAGTTTCAACATTTATCGTCAATTACTACAATTGCTATATATATTAATTTGACATATTATGACTGGCGTATACGGTACGTAAATAGAATAAATGATTAAATCTATTGTAAGATTGAACGTATACATGTAACTGAGATGTCTATTCTGTAATAAATTGGAATATTCAATGTTACAGATATAGATTCAAGCAAATGATTTGTGTGACCTCTTTACAGTCAACTTAATAGAAACAAACAAGAAAAAAACACAATTGACAAAATAAAGCCCATTTAAATTTGGACTAATATGCATCAGCTGTAGACGTTTTCAGTGAGCTACTAAATTGTTTATAGCAACCGAGAATAAATCTTTATTTTTAATAACAAATTAACCCTTCCCTAAAAGGAACATAAAACAACGTAACCTTTGTATTGTTTTGTACATGTAAAAACTCATGCGGTTTTTAAAATCTTATGTGACGTAATAAGTTGTATCTTTAGACAATACTAACTGTCACACAAATTGTTAAGAAGCGGCCATTGTTAGACTTTCAATTTTATTACTTGATTGACGAATGTCTTCAACAAGTAGACAATGTGATAAAGTGAGATACATTTCATTACCATGATTTCCCTTTTCTTCCATCTACGGCTTTGTCCTCTAGGCAAGTTAAATGTTGTCAAATGCATAGATACGCCTCAGCGAAATTGTAACATGCGTCAGTTTTTAAGTTTTTATGAAGAATATATCATCCATTCTATAAACTGAATATTTTTGCTTGCACCTTTTTTCCTTGTTCTTATCTTCAATAATGTCTGTTGTTTCTACATCACTTTTCACTTTGTTGGTTCGATAATGTTATATCTCATCGATTCTCAACAGAAACTAGCTGGGTTTTTTTATATGAGTTATCTTTATTGCCAAAATCAGAATGTTTAAATATATAAAACATGTTGTATATTAGATTTTTTCAATTAAAACCTATTGCAGACTATTGTTTCGGTTCTTTTAAGAACAGGGTTCACGGCACATATTTGATAGCCTCTGTTCGGTTTAGATTAGGAATAATTCGGATTTTGATCATTTGTTTAGACATTTGTCTGTAATGGAATAAATGTCATCTTTGATAATAACCAGGCTATATATATTTTATGAAACAATTACCTTTAACCTGAAAAGATGATAGGTTCAAATATTGTATTCCCCTTAGACGACAGTGAAGCCGATAAAAGTATATGTAAACGATAACGTAAGAGCACCCCATCAACAATTTCAGTTAACAAAACAAATTTGTAAAAGTTCCAACCGGTGTTCATAGATGTAACATCGCAACCTCATCGGCTGAAAGTCCTAGTCTAGACAAATTGTGAGTCGAAAGATACCAACATGCAATTGCCAATAGACAAAAAATTAGACATGAGTTGACAGGAATACTGATAAGGAAAAAAGGATTACATTCAACCAGTTTATTAGGTACTAAAATGAGCTATGATCTTGATAAGGAATTAAGACATGGTATATGTAGGTTAGGACGCACTGAACAACCAACCAGTAACAGTCTTAAATCATTCGAATTTTGTATTACTAGTACTGCAAGATAAATTGGTTGCACCTAACATGGTTAAGAAGAACATAATTTGTTTTACGAAGCCGTAATCATTTAAAGGCGTATGAGCTATTTTTGGTGTATGTAATGTCATTTGATCAACTGTTTTTTTTTTACCAAGGAAGAAGCTCAATAACGATATATGTAATCTCATTGTCCACAGTCAGGTTTCTATAAAGGTGAAGATTGTCGTTAATACATCTGGCATTAAGAGAGGAGTTGTATAAAATGTAGTTAATGCTAAAAGATTTTCATTACTTATGATTGAGTAACCAGTATTTACATAAAAAAAAACCTCAGACATCAACATCCACAACTTCACACAAGGGAGAACTTGGACAGAGAAAACTTCGTGCTCAATTCTACCCAAACATGTCGAAAAAATATTGGGATAATGTTGTGATTTTAGTACAATCTGAGAAAAAATATTGGTGCAACCTCAAGAATAATATTAATATATATAAGAAGATGTGGCAAGAGTGCCAATGAGACAACTCTCCATCCAAGTCACAGTTTGTAAAAGTAAACCATTATAGGTCAAAGTACGGCCTTCAACACGGAGCCTTGGCTCACATCGAACAGCAAGATATAAAGGGAAAAACAATGGTCTAATCTATAATCTTTAGATGTAATATAGGAGAAATAATTATATATTAGCTTAGATGTAAAGGTTCAAGGGTGCTATTTACTTTTGAATTAGGCTAACTTTCATTCCTTTGAGAACAATTTCACTTTTAAATTGATATTCATAGATGATTTCCAAATAAGAGTCTCCATGTATTTTTGTTAATCAATATTCAGAGGTTTCTTTAAGTTAGGAAATATTCCTCTATATGTCAGTATATTACTTTATTTGTCTTTTTTATATTTCTATGTTAAAAGAATTTCACGATTATTCAGAATTTGGTCAATTCATTAAAAACGTTATAGGTTGCACTTTGTAAATACAGCTGTTTCTCAAACCACGCCTCTTTTGGGGAGATATTTAATATTCATAGGTATGTTAATTTGTTAACGTACTGGTTCCCATTGATGATCTCTGTGTTTCATCTCATAGAGACATCACTTGGGAATGTAACCAGTATTGAAAAACATGGTAGCGGCTAAATTTTAATTCTTAGGAGGTCCAAAAATGGAGGTAAGGGTAGTATAGAATTTTAGTATAAGTTTAAACTCTTAGAAGTTCAGGGCATATAAATGTTGAAAATATGCCGCACAGCCCTATATTTTGACCTTTGAATAAAATAGTAGTGCATATAAACTTTCCGTTCTGGGATATTATTTTTCACGAAACTTCATAGTAAAAGTGTCACAATTTTAGCCGCAAAGGGAGTTCCTATGGGAAATTGCATTGTCAGTATTTACAGAATTGCAACCTATAAGCATTTGATCAACTAAACCATAAACGATAATCCGGATTAAACTGTTTGTTGTCTACTGAAAATGGAAGATAACTATTATTTACAAATGATTATTAGCTGACGGCACTGATATTTTCATATTTGTTTACGATATTTCATCTTGTCAGAATCAGACAAATGATGGACACATCGTGGATAGTTATTTAATTGAATGACCTAGATCGATACTCAGACAAATCAAGTTATTTTAAAAAAATATTCCATACTGAAAGTCGTCATTTCAAATAAACTATAAACTAAAGTAAGTAGGATATGAACTGATTCACATTCATGCAGTAGTTGTTAACAAGTTCTTTTCTTCTTTGTTTTGTGCGGTTAGGTTGTTTATAATTAAGGAACGTGTAGAAGTAAAAAAAAATGATCATAGAAACAGTCATGAGTAGCACTCAACACATATCATATTTGTGGAAACTTGCGCATAAATTCCAAAAAGGCTACTAAAGATTCGTCATTGACACCAAATATCCTGAATGACAACACATACTTCACCTATTGTTTTTGGTGCATTCATATGTCAGAGTATTTGTCTGATACTGTTAAATCTTTGTTTAACTAAAAGATTGGGAGATTGCATTATGTAATCAGAAGGTATAAATGATATGATAACATTTTTGTTGATATGTTTTCCCTCACACACAGTATCACAGGTCTGCCATTAAATATGTTACAGTTGGCATGTGTATGTCATTGACTATTGATACACATATGATTTCCATGTATTTATTTTCATTAGTTAATTTATTGGACAATAGACATTCATTAATTATGAATGTTGACTGTCCCTTTGGTATCGTCCACATCTATATTACACACTAACAATGTACGTATTGTACATTTTGTTTGTCAGTCATGAATAAAAGAAATCCAAGAATTGCGGTCTCAATTCTCAATAGGGAAAAACGGGTAGAGAATTAGCAATTCCATAGGAAAAACATTTGATTGACACTTCCTTTATTTCCCCAAGTTATTTCTTCACCAGAAAATTCAGAATTTTTGAGGATTTTACTAGTCAGACGGTTTGGTAGTATACGAGCACTCAGCCTGTTTTCTTGGTTGGTGAGAAATATGGTAGGCTCGTTTATACTCAGTCTGATTAAGATTATTGATGAATGTAAGTAAATCGTGAATAAGTCTATTTGTCGCAAATTCTCAACATTTGTTACAAGCATCATGCCCCTTAAATATTTGACTAATTGTACACATCATGGTGAGTAAAATATGAATATGTCTTGGACTCGCAACAAACGTATTGGTTAATCTAACAATTGTGTTCTGTATGAATTGTCCATCCCGATCTTTGGTCCATTAACAAGGCACCAATATCACAAGTATCATACTTATCTGTTAACGAGGCAATAGTTTGTTTGGTTATGACATCATACATGCTGAGTAATACTATGATACATTTACAATGTATTAATTATATTTATCAACATAAAGAATATTGTTTATCTGTTTTTTCAGACACGTTCACCTGTCCAGGCAAACATGTGAAATGAAAATATGTAGAACAAGGTTAGTATCATTTTCCTTAATTCTTCTTGTATACTTGATTGCCTTTTCATGTTTACAAAACATTTGTTATTTCTTTTATTTTTTTACATTGAGGGATGTTGTTTTAGTTTGCAGTATTTTGTATTGTATATTGTAATTAGTCTGCAGGTGTTTGATTATAGAAACATGCACAGGGAAACCATATGTATTAGATACACCTACGAAGGGCATTAGCTCGATTGGGTCAGTATATCTAATTTACATCAAGATATTATTGTCAATGGAGAATGATAGTTTTCCGTAATTTAGGAGGGAGTCTTTCAGCGATATGATCATATGTTATTGAAAGTATGACAAATGCAGGATATCCAATTTCATTTAATTCAACGACATCATGGTGTACATATGTTAACGGTATTTGATTTCTGTAATTGGACTACTCGCAAGAATTGAAACCTGAAAAGGCATTTTGACATCGATGTCTGCACTTCATACATTGTAATGTTATACCAAAAGTCATATGCCATGTGTTGTTCTTTTAGTTATTCGTTCCGAGTTTAAGATTGAACGAGTGTTTCTTGTTCGTAATTGATTTCGATATTACATTTTTCAGTGGAACATAAAAATAGAAACTCATTAACGAGTGGCAAATTGTGTTAATATGTACACAGCGGTACATGTATTTTAACATAAAATTTGAAATATTGTCATTTTTATCACTTATCTATTAAAAATAACCTATATAATATAAATTTTGTTTGGCAGATTTTTTAAATGCCGAAAGTTTAACATGTTTCATCATAAGTTATTGAAATGAACTGAAATTAGATATATAACATTACGTCAACTTTGCTTTCGATTGAA